ACGAAGCTTCGAACGATAAGCAATTAACGCATGCACTCGTTTAAAAACATCGTTCGGCACCCCGCGACGGAGGACAAGCTCGTCCACACAGTCACCCCCTAAATATAAAGTCATTCAGATATGAATGACACCAGCCGCTTACGGTCGACCGACGAAGGCGGCTTGCTACCTGAGACGGAGCGCGTCGCTGTTTCTTCCTGAAGTATTGAATATGGACTTACTGTATGTTTTATGTGCATTGCACATTTTATTACCACTTCGATCTTACTCCAAGTGTTTGAGGTTCTTGTTTCCGCAAAGAAATAATATGCAATTAACATGGATCATACAAAACGTATAATGATATTAGAATGAAACTAAGATGAAATTTGCCGCACCTTCATTACGATGCATGAAGAAACTAAGAAACTAAAATAAATAAAATTGTTAAACACATACATTCGGTGTAATATGAACCATTTCTAACATGGAATTGGAATTCGAGGTTGAAAGTTCTTAATATTCGTAAGAAGATATTTACATTTCTTGCGAATTTTATCGAGTAATCAGAGTTAATGCGATACAAATGGATTCGACTCAAATACCGCGGGCACAAGTTATCGACATCTTCTACGAGGTAAGTAAACAGCTGTTCTACCGACTGTTCCTGCACGTCGTTGAGTCTTTAAAGTGACTGTACGCCCCTGTTGAGCCGTGATCCGCTGACACTCCGTGCGCGCGGATTGCCATGATTTCGGTCAATTTTTAAACTCTTATAATTAATAAACGAAGCATTTTTCGCAATTTCGTTATTCTTGATTTTCGTCTTATTTTGCCTCAAAGAATCACCCCTTAAATTTTTTCCCACTAGTTGTCGAACACCCTGTATAGTAAGAGGCGACATTTCGAGCGGTGCTTTTCAAGTCCTCACTTGACCTTGGCATTTAAATTGGTGTGGTGTAAAGCGGGCTATTTGAATAAGCTAAATGTAATATCTTTTTTTATTTCTATTTATGATAATTTTGAAAACTTATTTAGACCATAAACGTTCTTTATATTACTAGTATTATATTCTTATGTTTGTATATTAATTTTTCAGATATAAAATGGTTAATAAGTGGTTAAATATAGAAATATACATTACAAACACGTTAAAAAATACATAGATTACAAATATACACAATAAATGTATACATTATGAATAAATTAAAACAATATTTATTACAAGTTGATTACAAAAATGTGCACTATAAATAAATTACAAAAATATACTACGTACAAATTGCAAACATATTTACCAAAGAAATCATAAGAGTAATGTAATTATAATAAATAATGGCATTAACAAGTATGAAAACATTTAAATCTAACGACGTTGTTTGATTTTATTCTCAAAGGTGTTACAATAGACAAGAACTGCAGCCAATTTGCTCGATTTATTATATAGGTATTTGTTGGCATCAGGTCATGAAGAACAAAGCTTTTAACTTATCTTTGGTGATTCTTTATCACATTTTATTCTTATTATACAATAAACATACTTAATATTAAATGAATATATAAACGGAAAGAAATATCAAACATCTTAAAGGAAAATTAAACAACGCAAATTCTCTTCTAGTCCATATCAACGGAAACGCAACCATACTTCCTTCTTGGCGCCAATACATGAAATTTAGATTGCCTTATTCCAACATTCCCTCTCAATCTAAATTTCCTCCTTTTAACATTCTTACTTCACTAGCTTATCTCTAAATTTCTTAAACTTGACAGCACTTAACGGCTTTGTAAATACATCCGCTATCTGGTCATGTGTATTACAATATATTATTTTTATATTGTTTTCCTTAACTTGTTCCTCTATAAATCTGTATCGCACATCTATATGCTTTGACCTCTTATTCAAAATACCTCTATTAATCAGTTTAATCGCGCTTTGGTTATCTATATGCATCTCTGCATGTATCTTTCTGCCTAACAATTCTTCTATCACACCTTTTAAATATAATAACTCTTTACAACATTCCGCTGCCGATATAAATTCAGCTTCAGTACTTGATAAAACTACAATTGGCTGCTTGCGCGACGCCCAACTAATATTACCATTTAACTCGATTACATAGCCTGAGGTGCTTTTCCTAGTATCTATGTCCCCTGCATAATCAGCGTCACAATAAGCCCTGAGAATGTTTGTATTATTTTTCCTAAATACTATCCCACGATCCCTTGTTCCTTGCAAATACTTCATTATTCTTTTTGCATTTGTTATATCTGTGGAACTTGGTTTTTCTACTTTCCTATTACAATACATTACTGCGTAATTTATATCGGGTCTTGTCTTCGTTGTCAAATATAACAGACTACCGACTGCTTCTCTGTAAGGAAATGTGACCTTTTTTCCTTCTTCTTCCCCTTTGGAGTTCATCAGCATGGGTGTGTCTACTGCCTTCGCTGTTTGCATCCCATAGGTCTTTAGAACTTTTTCCAGATATTTAGTTTGTTTCCATTTTATAGCACTTTCTTCTTCCTTTACGATTTCTATACCTAGAAAAATATTTGGATTATTATTAAACTTAACTTCAAAATAACCTTTTAATCTTTGAACTAAATTTATGAGTTTTTCTTTGTCTTTTCCAAATACAATTCCATCGTCTACATGTATCGCAAGATACATAGGTTCTCCCTCGATCTTGAATATGCATTTCTCTGTTCCTAATTGTCTTAGACCTTGATTATTCAATGCTTGTGTGAGTTTTTTGTTCCAATAGTAAGATGCCTGTTTAAGACCATAGAGAGCCTTCTTTAATTTGCAAAATTTCTTTGCTTCTTGTTGATACCCTTCTGGAAGCTGCATATATATATCTTCCTCCAACTCGCCATACAAAAAAGCTGTCTTCACATCAAATGTTATAAACTCCATCCTTTGTTGAACTGCAAGGGTAAACAATATTCTCAATGTTGCACTGTTGATTACTGGGCTGTACAAATCTTCATAATCTATCCCTTGTTTCTGTTGGAATCCTCTTGCCACCAATCTGGCCTTATGCCTCCCTCCATCTTTGACTTGGAATACCCATTTGCTGGTCAGACCTCTCTTCCCTTTTATCTCATTTCCACTGACTAAATCCCATGTGTCATTTTTCTCTAGTGAGTCTTTTTCTTCTTGTATGGCCTTCAGCCATTTTTCTCTGTCCTCACTTTCTATAACTTCCTGATATGTTAAAAATATGTAATCATTGTGTTTTTCTGGATACTTTCTTGTTCTCGTCGATCTTCTTAACTCCCTTTCTTCTCCTTCTCTTACTTCTATTAATTCATTTTCTACCCTTTCTTCTTGGTCAGAATTTATATCTTCTGTTGATCTTTCTTGTTCTCGTCGAGCAGCATGGCACCCTTTTGACTTGCCACTTTGATTTCTTTGTTCACTGGTCTCTTATTCCTCAAAAGCTGCACGTCGTTTGTCATGTGTCGTTGCACCGGAGTCCACTATCCATCCAATCCCTTCAGTGGCTGCATGCGTTAAGAAAGCTACTTTAGGACTTTCTTCCTTTTTAATTCATTCTTTCTGGTTTTTATAGAAACAGTCTTTCTCCAAATGATTGGATCTCTTACAGATTTTACAACACCTAACTTCCACCTTACAGTTCTTCGCTATGTGTCCTAGCTTTTGACAATTGAAACACTTCACATAATTTTGTTTTTTATGGTCTGTATTCTTACTTGTGTGTTCCCAATGTCCTTTCCTGTTACTATTTCTGTGTTTTCTTTTCTTCTGTTTTAAATGCTACCACTTCTTCTCTGTCCTTGACATTTCTACCTTCTTCGACTAGGAGCCTTGCCGTCAGATTTGTCAACGTTCTTTCAGTTGCTGGTGACGACTCCCATGCACTTATGAAATAACGATAGCTCTCTGGTAGCGCTGTTAAAACTTTTGATATTATCATCATCTCATTGATCTCCTCACCTAGACCTTTAAGTCTAAAGGATAAGTTTTTTAAGTCTGATATAAATGTGGCTATATTAGTCTCATCTTTCTTTTTATATTCAAAAAATTCTTGCATCAGAGTGTATTTTTGCTGTAGTGAGTCTCTTTCATAAATGCTTTTCAGCCTCTGCCACATATCATGCGCATTTTTACATGTTACTATGTGTATTAAAGATTCTTTTTCTAGAGTACTCACCATAATCCTTTTTGCCTTTGCATCTTTACCTTTCCACTCTGGTTTCGACATGTCTACTTCTGTCGGTTCTTGTACCACTACAGATAGAAGATCCGACGCATCGAGGTAAATTTCTACTTGAAACTTCCATAATGGGTATCCATCCACATCCTTTAATTTCTCGATGCTATC